TTGTGGTGAAGCTATATAGCCTTCCTTAGCTTATTCATACATTCAACAAATACTTGCTGAATGTGCCTCTGTCCCAGTTGCTGTTCTAAGTCTTGGGAAATAAGAGCAGTGAACAAACCTGCACTCATGGGGCTTCCATTGTAGTAGGGGGAGACACAGTAAACCCAGTAGAATTTGGTATGTTAGATGGTGATAAGTGCTGTGGAGAAAAATAAAGCAAGAAAGGGGGATAGGTTGTTAGCAGGGTAAGGGGAGGACATGCAGTTTTTAAAAAGGTGGTCAGGAAAGGTCTCATTGATAAGGTGACATATGGGCAAACACCTCCGAAGAAGGTGAGGGTGCAAACCATGTGGATACCTGGAGAAGAGCATTCTAGGCAAAGGGAACATGCCTGGTGCCTGAGAAGCTTAAGTTCAGTACAGTCGGTTAGGGAGGAGGAAGGGAATGACGTAAGGGAGTACAAGAGGGGAATGTTTCTTGCCGAGCCCTGAAAGCCATTGTAAGAACTTTGGGTTTTGCTCAGTGAGATAGGAGGTCTTCAGGAGGGTTTGAGCTGAGTAGTGACATCCTTTGTTTTAACACAATCCCTGGTTGCTGTATCAAGAGTAGACCACAGGGCTGCAAGGGTGGAAGCAGGGAGACCAACTAGGAAGCTGGTGTAAAAATTCAGAGGTTTGGACTAGAGTGTGGATTGGTGGAGAAGGGTGAGAAGTGGTCAGATTCTGAATGTTTTTTGAAGGTAGAGCCAAAGGATTTGCAGTGTGTGAGCAAGAGGTGTCAAGAATAATTCCAAGGTTTTCGGCCTGAGGACCTGGGAGGATAGCATTGTAATTTATTGAAATAGGGAGGGACACATCTACTCTAGAGAAGCCTAGTGCCTTGAAAGTTGGGAATATCGACTGTTCTTAAATTGTTGGGAGATTTAATGATGGGTATGTGAAATACCTCACTATCGTATTCATTCTTTTTGCCCATGGGTCCAAGACAGCTGAATTATTGATAGTATGGTATAATAAAAACATGTGAGTTTGAATCCAATCTTCCTTATGGAATATTTGAGCTTTGTTTTAATTATCTGTAACATGGGTGAATAGTACCTCATTTACAGGGTTGTTGTGAAGAGTAAATTTAGTGACAGGAAGATTGTGTGGGAATTTGAAAAAAATAATTATTATAAATGAAAAAAGCAGAATGTAGGATTTTACACTGTGACTATAAAGTTGTTAAAATAAAAATATGAAAAAAGATC